TTCTCAGTTCCAAGCCAGAACAGACATAAGTCACCACGTCTGGGGGAACTACCTTTTAAAACTCACTTCCATACCAAAACAGACTTATGTCACCACGCTTGGTAGGAAGGTTTCAAAATATGGTTTCATACCAAAACAGACCTAAGTCACCACGCTTGGTAGAAACATTTCCCAAAAACTCGTTCCAATACCAAAACAGACTTACGTCACCACGCTTGGTAGGAACATTTTTCCAAAATCTCGTTCCAATACCAAAACAGACTTACGTCACCACGCTTGGTAGGAACATTTATCAAAAACTTATTCCACACCAAAACAGACTTACGTCACCACGCTTGGTAGGAATATTTCATTCTAAAAGATATAAAATAACCATTTTTATGAATCATAAATAAATAAATAATTATTTAAAAACTTATAAAAATTTTCAACATAAAGCTATCCGGACAACAAGTCCGGTCAATAACCACCCGGTTTACGAGTCCGGTCAACTAATCCGGTCAACAACCATCCGGTTTACAACACTTAGACTAAAAGTCTACCTTGTCCGGACATCTAATCCGGTCAACTCACCAAAAATTCTTTGAACGGTTTTAACACTTAGAACAATATTCATTTTTGAGCGGATATCAAATCCGGTCAACAGTCCGTTCAAGACTCACCCGGTTTAAGACTAAACCGCTCACCACTCACCYGGTTTACAACTCCGGACAACAAACCGCTCAAGGTTTGTCCGGTTTAAAACAATCCGGTCACTAAACCTTTCAAGGCATGTCCGGTTTAAGACAATCCGGACACTAAACCGCCTAAGGTTTGTCCAGTTTATACCCTTATCCGATCAAGCTTTGTCCGGTTTAAATGCTTATCCGGTTAAGCTTTGTCCGGATAAACACTTAGACAAAAGAATCAAAGTTTCTTTTCAAATAAGAACAATACGAATATGCAACTGAAACTAGTGAAATCTTTATAAAAAGGTTTAGAAATCACTCACCTTAATAAGCTTTTGAAACCAAAACGCTTGAAATCAACCCTTTTGAAATCCAACACTTGCAATCAACTTGAAATCACCCCCTTTTTGGCAAATCCGGACAACTCTCTCTTTAAATCACTCTACTTTCTCAAAATGGCAAAGAGAAGAAAATGAAGAGGCTAAGCCCATTTTTATACTTCCCAAATGTGGAAAAGTCGGCTAACCGCCTCTTCCCCCTTTTTCCACCTCATGCAAATACATAACTTTACACATGCACACACATACATACATCCATGCCCATAACATGCATGCACCCATATATATATATATATATATATATATATACACACACACACACATATATATATATATATACATATCCAATTAATACACAAATTCTCATACCAGCGTGTATCAATTTATCATGCTATCACGTAATCATTTAAATCAGATAATCACGTATTTAATACATTGGGTAATAACCAGAGTCTGGTTATCACAAAAAATGATTAGACGATTTAACATAAACAAAGTATATCAGGCTAGCACTCTCATGATTAGTCGAAGTGTTGGATATAAGGAAAGATATATTTTGTCTAAATTATGATGATGAAGAGGTGTTGGGAACTGCAATTCCCTATCTAAGTACAATAGGTGCATTATTCTACTTTGCACTATACACTTGATCGTATATTCTATTTCTCAGTGAACTTGTTAACTATAGCTCAACGCCAACACAATGTCATTGGAATGATATCAAATTAATCTTTTGGAACCATTGACGTGGGYTTATAYTTTCCTTAAAAATGAGATTGATAATRGAACTTTAATACCTACTTAGATAGTGAGAGGCAAAAGTATTACCGCTAATAGAAAAACACCATAATATGTCTTGGCATGTATTTGTTGATATTAGGTATATGTCTGACCCATACAATGGATAAGGAATTACCATAAGGAACATTTCTATTACTTGGAAGTAAACTAAGCAAAACCTTGTAGCTACCTTCTCAAACTACTCTAAGAATTACTCTACATGAATTTAATAGTGTAGATAGTTAAGGACTATCATTATATATATAT